TTTCTATCCCTTTATGACATGTAACACAATAATAATGGGAAATGCAGGTAGAACAAATATAACTTGAATGGTGTGTCGTTTATTTCGGACTGTCGTTTGTTTGTTTCGTCAAAAGATTCACGCAATAGTAACAAGAGGCGATTTTACCAGCATGTCGGATATATCCGGCGTTCGTCCCCAGAGGGCGACCATGTGGATGTCGGATATATCCGGCGTTCGGCTCCGCGAGTGTTCATATGGATGACGGATATATCAGTCGTTCGGAGCGAAAGGGTTAATAATGTTACAGCTGACGTCGAGACGAACTCGACGACCTATGTAAAACGGTCTTCTCGTCTTGAAACATTGATGAAATCGTCGTGAAACAGCTAATTCGTCGATTGGTACCGCTGTCCAATGTCGCGAGACTGGGAAGTCTAAGAGCTTTGTTCCGATCGGACAGGCAGATCACGTTAGCCGGAGAGTACGAGGTAGCCGGGACTCCAGCGTTGTACGAACGGGATCGCGACAGAGAGAAGATCAGGATCCCTGGACCGATCAAAGAGGACATTGCAGTCTACGTAGGTGTATTCGTCGTCTGCGCTAATCTTTCGGCAATTTCTCCGGTCTAGAAAACTCTCTAGCCACTTTCTTCTCCTTCTCAATAACGTCGTCCCATCACTTCAGTTGATTTCCAGAGGACACTACCGCAACTTCGGGCTGCGTTACGAGTACACGGTGCCGAAGAAGGAGCCTGATCGCGCGCCGGAATACTATTGGGAATTTTCGGACTGGTCATTGTGCACCGTGACTTGCGGCGGTGGCACGCAGGTCTCCAAGGCTCTTTGCAGGGAGAGGAAGAGCGGAGTAGTGGAGGACCATTTCTGCGAGGGCATCAAGCTGCCGGAAACTATGTGGCGGGACTGCAACACGAACCCCTGTCCTGCTAGGTAATGCTAACTTTTTCCGGCAATTTCGTTACTAGGCTGCGGATATTTATGCGAAATAAAAATTTGTCGTCATCGATCACAAGACCGCTGGACCTTTATTTCTCTTCTTAAGCATGTTAACCCTTTGCAGTCGAAGCTATTTGAATTCGAAATCCGTAAACATGATTTCTGATCTACAGCATTTCTATTTTATACTGGGTGGGGCATTTTAAACAGGTCACCTGAATAACTCGCTTGTTTTTGAAGATAGGAGAAAATGCATCAGACCAAACTTACTTGGTACCGGGGGGCTCATAATTTGGTATTACCAATTTTTCTGTAGGTGCAGGCGTCAAGGAGATACGAAGGTCAATTCTGTTTTTTTAAATGGAACAGTGAGTTTTTTTACTTACATTCTGATAGAGTGTTTCGAGGCGAATACAATGAACTATTATGAAAGTCGTTCAAGGTCACCCAAAGTGACACAGAAAAGCAAAGCTAAAATACAGTAAAATGGCAAATAATCATATAAATTTGTTTATAAATCTAATCAAAAAATAATGTCATCTATTTACTTGTGTGCAATTTTTATCGTCATAATGTAACAGCTAAGATCAAGTCCAATGCAACGACCACAACACTATGACCATATGACATTTAGCACGAAAAGTCCAGAAATATTTACGACATTTCTAATCCTTCGCTGAAATGCATAAATCTCTGAATTTTTCTTCAAATTATTTTAAATTAAAATAATTAATAAAAGAACAGAATTGATCTTTATATCTCCTTGACGCCTCCACCTACAGAAAAATTGGTAATACCAGATTATATGAGCCCTCCGATACCAAGTAAGTTTGGTCTAATGCATTTTCTCCTATCTTCAAAAACAAGCGAGTTATTCAGGTGACCTGTTTAAAATGCCACACCCTGTATAATTTATTGCAATTCACGCGTATAAAATTTAGCCTATTGGCAAGTACAATGCAATTTTAACAGTTTCTTTTTTCTTAATGTAAACGAGTCTCTTAGAATGATTTTGAAAAATAGTATACCAATGACGCCTCAGAGTCGCCACTCGAGTGTAAAGGGTTAATTAACGTAACGCTTTCAAATTATTAAAGCGTTTCTGCGATTTTGCATTTCATCGACCGATCTATGTGTCATAAATGCATAAAATCCGCAATCTATTGATTACAAGCCCGACTAAACGTTGTATTCTGACGTTTCGTGAGTATCTCCCTTGATCCTTGGCTGAATCGTCGAAGCCAACCAGGACCTAAATTCGTTTACGTTACGACACCATAACGATTACGATAATTGTGAAATCAGATGGTGGATCGGCCCGTGGCAAATGTGTCCGGTGACGTGCGGAGAGGGTGCGCTTCGGAAACGATCGGTGATGTGCGTGTCCTCCGGAATGGGGCCCGATCGTTCGGACTTGGCGTTGCCGGATCGCGACTGCAACAGAGACGTGAAACCGGAAGAGGTCAGCCTTTGCCCGAATCTGCCGGCATGCGGCTCGACCACGGAGGCGCCCTTGATCGTCTACGCGGACAACAAGGACGCCTCCTTCTACAACGTGAGCTCGAACGATCAGGACGGCATCACGATCGTCGACGGTCTGACCACCGAGGAGCCGGAGATCCTCGAGTTCGACAACGTCGTGGACGAGAACCCGGACAACTCTATGTACAACACCAAGTCGAAATGGATCGTTTCGAAATGGAGCCACTGCGCGAACAGAAAGAGGAGCAGGAAGGTCAGCTGTTCGGTGCAGGGCGACTGCAATCCCGAGAACAAGCCGGCGACCGTAGAGTTCTGCCAGGGCGGTAGGTGGGTCACAGGTGAGTCCGTTATCGTCGCGATAGTTTGGCAACGAGGTCGAATATTTTTGCAATCTATGGCGGCGTAGAACGTACGTTATCGCGATGCAACCATGTGACTTATCGTTAGCCATCCCATTAACTATTTCTTCCTCCGTCGGCCTGGCCGGCTGCCAAAGGAACGCTGCGGCAGAGATCAGGCACGTAAAACATCGATCTTTATGGACATGCTTGCAGGAAGATGGGGATCTTGCAACGCGACTTGCCTGGCAAGGGTCGGCGTTAAGAGCAGGGAAGTCGACTGTCGTGACCGTGTAACGGAATTACCGTCGGACGATTGCAACCCCGAGAGAAGGCCAATCGATACGAGGCGTTGTTATCATAGGCGGCAATGCGCGAACGATAAATCCGGTAATTGCACACACACCAGCGAGAATCGTCGATCCGAGGGAGCATGGGAGCTCAGGCGCGTCAGCCATCCGCAATAACTTTTACTAGCTCCGTTTCGCTCGTACTTGCTAACTAATGGCATTCGTAGCCTGTTGGTTGCACACTATCTGCATGCAGTCCGGCTAATGTCTTTCTTAAAATCGATAATTTACCGCCTTCCTTACAGCCTACTTCCTTTTGACAAAGTCGCTGCACAGAGGATTTTCTTAGGAATTTCTTAGCAACTGACTGCGACACGAAACTCGACTTCTTTTTGATTAACCCTTTCGGTACGAGCGCGTTGTCCGCCGTGGCACTCACACTGTACGGGGTGCCGCGCCAAAAATGCGCACATAACGCAGAGTCGGTCCACTTTTGTACGAAGATTTTCTTAACACTTAGCCGACCGATCGGGTAGATCTACCCATTTCCAAGCTAGTCGGTGGCTGACCGATCGGGTAGATCTACCCATTTTCAAGCTAGTCGGTAGCCGACCGATCGGGTAGATCTAACATTTTGACCTGAGGAACGCTTCTTTCTCTGTAGAACTTCTTATTTCTATAGAGAATAACATAATTATAATAACATGCACTAATTTTTGAAGTCTTTTATTGCCCATTATTACGGTTCTTTATGTTCGGGATTTCCGAAGGTGCCTCTACCAGCCGTAAAATTATTTTATTAGAACACTTAGCCGATCGATCGGGTAGATCTACCACTTTGATCCGAGGAACGCTTCTTTCTCTATAGAGCTTCTTATTTCTATAGAGTACAACATATAATAAAATGCACACCAGCACACCAACACCACAGCCATTAGAAATCGAAATGCTACCTACACCCCATTCTCACGACTTTTTCGAATATATAAGACTCCGCTCGACTTGCAAACATTAGTGTAGAAGCTAAGCTCCTTGCTGTGACTCTCAACAAGTGGTGTGGAACGAAGTATAGAAAAATATCCCCTAAAAATGTCC